AGACATTAAGTTTTCAACTTATTTTTGGGTAAGTACCATGAAGTGCAATTGCTTGATTATATGGTAAGAATTTGTTTAGTTGTCAGAAACTGTCAAAATGTTTTCCATGATGTCTGAATTATTTTGCATTCCCATTGTCAGTTAATGAGAGTTCCTGTTGCTCCACATCCTCACTAGCATTTGATATCAGTGTTTTGGATTTTAGCCTTTCTAATAGGTGTGTAGTGGGATCTAACTGTTGTTGTAATTTGCAGTTCTCTAATAACATATGATATTGAGCATCATTTCATATGTTGATTGCCATCTGTTTATCTGCTTTGGTGAGATATCTCTTCTGATCACTTGCCTATTTTATAATTGGATTATTTTCTTATTGAGTTTTGAAAGTTTGTTGTATATTTTGGATAGCTATCCTTTATCAGATATGTGTTCAGCAAATATTTTCTCCTAGTTGTGGCTTGTTGTTTTATTCTCTAAACAGTGCCTTTTATGAAGCAGAATTTTTAAAATTATAATGAAGTCCAACTTTTCAAATTTTTTATTCCTGGATCATGCTTTTGGCATTAAATATATAAAAAAGTTACCAATCCCAAGGTCACGTAGACTTCCTCCTCTGTTTATCTTCTAGTTTTATAGTTTTTCATTTCACTTTTAGGTTTATGATCCCTTTTGAGTTAATTTTTATGAAAAGCGTAGGTCTGTGTCTAGATTACACATGAATGTCAAGCTATTTCAGCATGATTTGAAATAAACACTGTCCTTTTCCCATTGAATTGAGTAAATCTTTTGTCAAAAGGCCAATTGACTATATTTTTGTGAGTCTATTTCTGGGCTCTTTATTCTGTTCCATTGATCTATTTATCTGCTCTTTTGCCAATACCACACTGTCTTGATTACTGTAGCATGATATCTTTTAAAATTAAAATTTGATCAGATTATCCCACTCTCCAAAACACTTCAGTGGCCTGCCATTGCATTTACTTGATGAAAATGCAGATAGTCTATATGAGGCCCTATGTGATGTGCGAAGCACTCCTCTCCACCTCTCTAGCTTCATTCTAGTCCTTTCTCTTATAATAACTTTTTTTCTTTAATCATTCAATGCTTGTTCTGACCTGTAGGCCTTCATACTCATGGTTTCCTCTCTCTGGAATTCTGTTCTTGCTTCCTCTTCTCCTGGTTAACTTCACTTACTTTTCAGGTCTCATTATTTTCTTAATGAGGGCTTCCCTGATCTCCAGATTAGATTAGGGCACTCTATTATATCACCCTTCCTTTCTTTTTTATTATGTGTAGCACAATTATATGACTTATTTATTACCTTCTCCCTAAGACAAAAGCTCTATGAAGGCCAGAGGTCTCTATTTCTTCATTGCCACATACACTTTGTTCTTGTTAAATATCTGTTCACCAAATTAATGAGTAAAGGGAAAGAAACTTAGAACACTGGACATTAGTTACATTAACTAATGGAAAATTGTGCTTTTTATGGAATAATTTTACTAGATGTAAGGCTACCAAAGTTAGTATATAGAGATTGCAGCAAGAAATTTTATTGTCTTTTGTAATATTTTTACGAGCAAAATGGAGAAGTGTCAGATTAATATTTACGAAGTTAGATTGTAGTCGATGTTAGCATGGGGAAAATGTCTCATGTTCTGAAGGGCTTACTAGTTGGGACTATCTTATTTAACATTTAAATCAGTTTTTGAAGACCCGGAAGGCATACACAAATAGATAGATTTTAAAGTTTAGGAGTGATACATAATGAATTAGATGGCAGACTCTAGTTTTTAAGTGATCTTCCTAAGCTAAATTGATTGGTCAAAATAAATAGGATAAAATAAATTTCACAAAAATGTAAAACATTTTACCAGGTCTAAAAAACATCTTTACAAACACAGGCTTAGAGAGAAAGATGTTTAGCTATTACGAGATGTGTAAGACTTGGCCACTATGATTGACTGTAAACCCAAAGTGTTAGCAATTTAATGAATTTAACAGAAATCTGAATACCATACTGGATATATTTATAGAAGTACGTAGTGTGGAACAAGAAAGGTATTCATTTGGTGTGTTCTCTGATGGTTATACTGCACATGGAATAGGATTTAATTCTGGATGCCACAATTTAGACAAAGTTGGCACACTGGGAGATGTTCAGATGTGTATTTTTATGGTATAGTAGAATTCTAGATATGGAATTTCATAAGTAACAAGGGCAAGTTGGAGTCCTGGCTTTGTTACTTGTTAACTGTCTGGCATTAAGCAATTTATCGACCGTTTTTCAAGCTCTTATCTTGAAAATGGGGATAAAATTAGATTATCTACATTTTTTCCCCTTTAATCCTACCTCACAGAATTAAAGGGGAAAAAATGTTCCTAGTAAACTGACAAGGGGATTCAAAGAGTAGAAGAAACTGTTTTGGTTTTAACTTTTAGGCTGGAGAAGAGGGAATTGTGGCAGTGAGGCATGACAAGGAAGGCAAGAGTGGCTACTGTTTGTTGGATGTCAGCTATGCTAGCACTATGTTTGACAACCCTGATATAGGTCATCCCCATTTAATCAGATTTGGCATTAAGGACTTTTATGCTATTGCAATTTAGACATATTTAATAAAGATTTTAAAGTACATACTCTGTGCATAACAAAGTTGTAGGCATTGTAGCAAATACTAGGAAGAGTCAATATTGTAGTTCTATATTTAACCCAACCTCTTGGAAACACAGCATAAGGCTGGGCATTATAAGATTGACATGTACACAAACTGAGTTACCACTTTCATGGACCGAGGGAACATCTAACCTTTTGCTAAAGAAGCATATACCTAGTTCAGAAAGAAGGTATAAAACAGCCTTCTTGAATAAACGGATGACCCCTGGAGGAAAGGTAATGAGCAGGGGAGAGAATGAAGCTTGCTGAGCAGTCCTGCTAAGGTTGGAACCCATGGCTGGTGTTGGCATGTGCTGTGGTTTTATGGTTTTTCTTTTCCTTTTTTTTTTTCTTCTGCAGTTCTAGAGGGGTAGGGATATAGATAGTTATATTCGCCCAACCATGCTAAGATTCTCAATTAACTGTAATTCCTAAGTGAGAATATTTGCAGTAAGAACTTCTCAGCCTTAAAAATAATATACTTAACATAGTTTAACTTTTTTTGATGTCTAAGGTTTTCATTATATTAACTACGATGATCTGATTGTTAAAGTAACTGCTCTAGGTTCAATTTGACAAGTTTTAATTGAGTGCACATCTCAGTGCCAGGCTCTGCTGACGCTGAACTGAAAGTTAAAATCCCTGCCCTCAGTAGCACTTGCCTGTGGTAAGAAAGCAATACTATGAAAGCAATGTGCACCATTCTTCTGCCAGAGGAACCACAGAAAAGGTACCTTCCCTAGAACAGATTGGCGGACAGGGATGGGGTGTCAAGGGAGGCTACCAGAAGAGGTGACTAAAGCAGTCATTTAGCTTGGAACTCAGAAGATCTGTTATCACACAAAACAACTTTGAAAATAGTGGTTAGAGTTCCAGATCAAACTATAAAAACCAATGAAAATATGTTATATTTTCAATGAGAAATACTAAAAAAGAACAATATTGTTTAAAAACTAGAAGTTGAGAATTTCTAAGCCTTATATTCATTTTGAAAGCTGTGTTGAAAAAATATTATTTCACTTGATAAGTAAATTTCAGATTTTGTGGAGATTTTTTTGGGGGGGCGGGATTTTTTAAGTGAATGCCTGAGGGCTCTTAAGGGCTATGGTATATGATAATGACTCTGTTGGATTTAACTCATCTTCAGAACTTCTGACTTTCCTTTTCCTTGTACCATGTAGCTGTTTTTCTGTTTTGTTTTGTTTTTAAATACAGCACTCACTGTGGCTACAAGTGTAATAAAGAAAAGCAAAGATTAATTGATGGGAGGTAACTGGATAAACACTGGGCTAGGGGTAGGGAAGGGAGGGCAGCTAACATTTATTCAATACCTATTATAAGTCAGCTACTGTACTAGGTACTTTCATGCATAGTGACTACATTTAGTCTTAACAAAATCCTATGAGATGTAACTATCACTGTTACCAGTCAAGAAAAATCATGACTAAAGTAAATAATTTGCCCCAAGTCAAATGATTAGTGGTAAAAGTCAGAATTTAATCCTAAGTCTTTGGCTTCATTGCCAACATTCTCCCAAAAATGGCTAACGTGAAATGAGCTGTTGGTACTATAAAATAAAAGAGTTGTTTATATGTGATTTTTCTGAGAAAAGAAAGACAGTTTAAGGTATAAAGTAGAATTCCCTATATTGGCTACAGCCTGGTATATTTGTCAGGGTAACATTAGACAGTAATGTATACCTAGTGTTCATAAATCAGGTTCATATATCTTGGGAAGTAATATTGGTGGAGTTGGAGTGATAGGGAGAGGTGTCTGTGCATTACATTGAAAAAATTTCTCACTCATTTACATCATGAGAGATATGTGTTTCCAATGATTGAATGGAATATACAGAACAGTATATATATATGGATGTGAATAGAGTTTTTTGTTTAAGCTTAAGTTAACTGCTACCCATAACTGAATTTTCAGTTTCTCAGATCCTTGGTATGTCTGTGAAATCCCTACATTGGCATAAGAGTTCTGAAAGGATATGTTCTTTGATAACTATATCTATTCTCAAAATATCTTTTGGAAATATGGAAAATCAGCCTGGTTGGTATTTTATTTAAATGGAGCATATAGATTTTATCATACAGTGTTAATCTAAGAAAACATAAAAAGAGTTTGTGTGTTTTTATACTGGTTTGAAGAAATCAGACAAAATTTTTCATCTTTTTTAATGCATAGGTGAAACTTTTAAGTATCTCCTCATATCTAATTTGTCATATGTTTCCGAAATGGAATAGATTAGACCTAGCTTAAATATTATACTAAATATTTTATGCTTACAGTTCTATTAAAATCTTTAGTCATCTCCATTGACTACCTTTTTTAATTTTTCTAGGTTATTGAATCTTTGGGAATTATTATTTATAAAGCATTGGACTATGGTTTGAAGGAGAATGAAGAAAGGGAATTAAGCCCTCCCCTGGAGCAGCTCATCGATCACATGGCCAACACGGTGGAAGCTGATGGTAGCAATGATGAGGGCTATGAGGCTGCAGAAGAAGGCCTGGAAGATGAAGATGATGAAAAGAGAAAAATCTCAGCTATCCGGTCATATAGAGATGTCATGAAGGTAAAGCAGCAGTTTACATAGTGCTTTTTTCTTTCAAGAGTTGTTATTTCACTTATAAAAATTGATTGGTGATGATGTTTGAGTCTGGGCAAGATGGTGGAGTAGGAATACACTGTACTTGCCTCCTCCCATGACTACATTAAAAATACAACTAAATTATAGAACAGAAACCTGGAGAACCACCTGAAGACTAGCTGAACATAACTCCTGTAACAAAATATAAACAAGAGGCCACATTGAGACTGGTAGGAGGGGAGGAGATGTGAAACGGGCACGTCCTGCACCCATGTGTGGTGGTTGAGCTTTGGGAGAGACATCTAGACTGCGGAGGTTCCCCAGAGGAGTAAGGGGTCCCAGCCCCACATTGGTCTCACCAACCCAGGGTTCTATTTCTGGGAAGAAGAGTCCCCACAAAATCTGGCTGTAAAAATCAGTGGAAATTCCAACGTGCAGGTGAGACCCGTACATCCCCTTAAAGGGACCATACACAGATTCACTTAACATGCAAGCAATCACAGTGGGCTCCAGCCGAGGGACAGCAGCGCAAGAGGTACCAGAAATACAGGGAAAGACTGAGTTGTGTGGCTTCAGAGTGAGGGCTGGAGGGACAGCCTCTCTAATCCATCTTGTGCCCTCCTCCTGTGCAGCCTGCAGGTGGGCACCATCTTATCTATGTTGAGCTTGCCCACTGCCAAATCTGATTCTGCATTGGTCAGGTAAAATCCACTCGCTTCACCCTGGTGACTCCCTGGGACCTCACCGCACCCAACTCATGAATTGCCAGAGCCATACTTGTGGCTAGGCAGCCAGCCCCACCCTGCCTCTTGGCTGGAGGCTCTTTCAGCAATAATCAACAGGCCTCCAATGGCAGGCAACCAGCCCCAGTCCAACTGTAGTGTTTCTTAAACAAATCTCAGGTGTCTGATGGCCTGAGGAGGGGAGTGGCTAGCCTTGGTGTGATGAGACTTTTCGAGTGGCCACAGGCTCAGCACTGGCATGAAATCTGAATTGGCACAAACTTTGGGAACACAGCTCGCTCCAATGTGGTGACTTCCTGGGACTCTGCCCCGCCCAACACACATACAGCCCAAGATTCATTCAACTGCTGAGCCCTGTGGGTACCCAGTAGGCAGCCTCAGGCCTTGGGTTGCCATGATCCTTTAGCTAAGCTGTCCCAGGCCTATTACGGGTGGCAGTCAGCCTCATTACAGCGTGGTCTCTCCCACATATCTCTAGGTCCAGCACAGGCAGAGACCAACTGCAGATTGCCTTTTAGCTCCTACAGGTAGCCTCGGGCAGGTCACAGGAAGCAGCTGACCTGGGCCTGCATGGAAACTACTGCAAATGGGCCCCAGAACCAACACACCCAGAGGCTGGCATCAGACCAAAACAGAGCACCACCTGATTAGCCCAAGTGGCACACCCAAAGGTGGTCACACATGCCTGTTAGGGCAGATCCCACTGTGGAGGGCTGAGCCCTACACAGCAGCACATACTTTATGGGTGTGGCCAGTCACTGTTAGTCAACCTAGTGCCAGTCACATACTTTATGGGTGTGGCCAGTCCCCACTGTTAGTCAACCTAGTGTCAATCCCGCCTACTGACGTCTTAACAGCAATCAAGGCATACCTACAATAAGAGAGCACACATAGTCCACACAAGGGACACTACTGGAGCACCAGGTGCCGTTGATCAGGGAACTGTGCCTCAGGACCGGGCACACAGGGCACCTATTATATAAGGCTACCCGCCAAGACTAGGAGACATAGCAAGTATATAGAAATGAACACAGAGAGGTAGCCAAAATGAGAAAACAAAGAAACATGTCCCAAATGAAAGAGTAAGAAAAAACTCCAGGAAAAAAAAAAAAAAGAAATGGATGGAAGCAGCCTACCTGATATCAAGTACAAAACACTTGTTTTAAGGATGCTCATTGAACTCAAGGGAAAAATAGGTGATCTCAGTGAAGACTTCTATAAAGAGATAGTAAGCAAAAAACAAGACATAGAAACCATAAAAAAGAATCACTCAGAAATGAAGAATACAATAACTAAAATGAGGAATACACTAGAAAGAATCAACAGATTAGAAAAAAAGAGAACCAAATTGGTGATTTGGAAGACAAGGTATCAGGAAACACCCAATTAGAACAACAAAAGGAAAAAACCAATGAAAAAACATAAGGAAAGTTTAATAGACTTCTGCGACATCAAATATAACAATGTCCACATCATAGGGTTACTGGAAGGAGAAGAGAGAAAGCAAGAGAATGAGAATCCATTTGAAGAAATAATGACAGAAAACTTCCATAACCTAGCAAAGGAGCTAGACATACAAGTCCAGGAAGTGCAGAGAGTCCCAAACAAGATGAACCCAAAGTGGCCCACACCAAGACACATCATAATTAAAATGCCAAAGGTTTCAGGAAACGAGGGAATCTTAAAAGCAGCAAGAAAGGCAGGTAGTTACTTACAAGGGTGCTCCCAAAAGACTGTCAGCTGATTTTTCAACAGAAACTTTTTAGGCCAGAAGGGCTTGGCATGAAATACTCAAAGTGATGATAAGAAAGGACCTGAAACCAAGACTACCCAGCAAGGCTATCATTTAAAATTGAAAGTGAGATAAAGAGCTCCCCAGATGGGAAAAAGCTGAAGAAATTCATTACCACTAAGCCAATATCAGAAGAAATGTTAAAGAGACTTATTTAAGAAGAAGAGGGGGCGGACAAACAAATATGAATAATATAATGGCAATAACTATGTACCTATCAATAATCGCTTTAAATGAAATGGATTAAGTGCTCCAATCAGAAGACATAGGGTAGACGAATGAATAAGAGAACAGGATACATATGTACTGTCCACAAGAGACCCACATCAGATCGAAAGACACAAAGAGACTGAAAGTAAAGGGATAGAAAAAGATATTTCATGCAAATGAAAATCAATAAAGAAAAAATCTGGAGTAGCAATACTTATATCAGACAAAATAGCAAAACAGACTTTAAACAAAAACTGTAATGAGAGACAGAGATGGATATTACATAATGATAAAGGAACATAACCCTAGTAAACATAGGTGCTCCTATGTTGGGTACATAAAGCAAATATTGACCAACACAAAGGGAGAGATCAACAGTAATACGGATATAGAAGGGGACATTATGTTTACATCAATGGACAAATCTTTCAGGCAGAAAATCAATAAGAAAACTGTGGCCTTAAATGACATACTAGACCAGATGGATTTAATTGATATTTTTAGAGCATTTCACCCCAAAGCAGCAGAATATACATTCTTCCCAAGTGCACATGAAACATTTTCCAAGATAGACCACATGTTAGGCCACAAAACAAGTCTCAATAAGTTTGAGAAGATTGAAATCATATCATGTGTTGTCACCTCCCACAATGGTATGAAACCAGAAATAAGTTACAAGAAAAAAAACTGCAAAATACACAAACACATAAATGGGTTAACAATGAGATCAAGAAAGAAAGCAAAAGATTCATTGAGACAGGTGAAAGTGAAAACACAATGACTCAAAATCTATGGGACACAGCAAAGGCAGTCCTAAGAGAGAAATTCATAGCAATACAGACTTACTTCAAGAAATTCATAGCAATACAGACTTACTTCAAGAAACAAGAGAAAGCGCAAATAAACACTTAAGGAACTAGAAAAGGAATAGCAAACAAAGCCCAAAGTGAGTAGAAGGAAGAAAATAATAAAGTTCAGAATGGAAATAAACAAAATAGTCTAAAATAACAATACAAAAGATTTTTTAAAAAAGCTATTTTCTTGACAGGATACAAAAACTGATAAACCTTTAACCAGATTCATCAAGAAAGAAAGAGGACCCAAATCAATAAAATCAAAAATGAAAGAAGGGAAGTCACAACTGACTCCACAGAACTACAAAGGATTATAAGAAAATACTACGAGTGATTGTATGCCAACAAATTAGACAATCTGGAAGAAATAGATACATTCCTAGAAATACACAATCTCCCAAGATTGAGTCAAGAAGAAACAGAAAACCTGAACTGACTGATTACTACTAATGAAATTGAATCAGTAATCAAAAAACTCCCAACAAACAAAGGGAGTTGATGGACTGGATGGATAGCTTCACAGATGAATTTTACCAAACATTCAAAGAAGAATTAATACCTATTCTCAAACTATTCCAAAAAATTCAAGAGGAGAGAAGGCTCCCAAGCTCATTTTACAAGGCCACCATTACCCTGATTGCAAAACCAGACGAAGACATTACAGAAAAGAAAATTGTAGGCTGATATCTCTGATGGATGTAGATGCAAAATACCAACAAAATAGTAGCAAACTCAATTCAGCAAAACATTAAAAAGACCATACATCATGACGAAGTGATATTTATTTCTGGGACACAAGGCTGGTTCAGTCTCCGCAAATCAATGTGATACACCACGTTAACAAATTGAAAGATAAAAATCATATGATCATATTAGTAGATGCAGAAAAAGTGGTTGATAAAATCTAGCATCCATTTATGATAAAAACTCTCAGCAAAGGGAGATTAGAGGGAACATACCTCAACATAGTAAAGGCTGTATATGACAAACCTACACCTAACGTCATACTCAGTGGGGAAAAAATAAAAGTGTTTTCTTCAGGATCAGAAATGAGATAAGGATGTCCACTTTTACCTCTTTTATTCAACATAGTATTAGAAATTCTAACCACAACAGTGAGACAAGAAAAAAAATAAGCATTCAAATTGGAAAAGAAGAAGTAAAACTGTCCTTACTTGCAGACGACATGATACCATATGCAGAGAACCCCAAAGATTCCACCAAAACACTTAGAACTGATAAATCAATTCAGTAAAGTAGCAAGACACAAAATTAACATTGAGAAATCGGTTGCATTTTTACACACCAATAATGAACTATCAGAAAAATTAAGAAAACAATCCCATTTACAGTTGAATCAGAAACCATAAAATACCTAGAAATAAA